ACTGATGTGGGAAACCTGGAATAAGCTCCCGGCTCCTGACTTCATATTGGCCCATCTCTGGCCGCTGTGGCCATTTGAGGAGTGAACCAGAAAATGGAAGACCTTTTTCTCTATTTCTCCCTCTCTCTCTGTAACTCTACCTCTCAAATAAATAAAATCTTTAAGAAAAGAAATTAATTGATGATTATTGCTCTAAATATTTGTATATAGTCTTTTGGAATTGCCACCTATTCAGCAACAGAATCAGGGAATCCGTAGGGAGAATAGCACTTTCTCCATGGAATCCCCAGACCTCTAGTATTTGGTCCTGACAATTTTGGCTACTTGAGTGTCTTAGAGGTTTAAAGAATAAAAATTGATGTCTCACAATTCCAGAGGCGGAATAGTCCAAGGTCAGGGTGTCTGCAGATACGGGGTCTGGTGGTGGCCCTTTCCCTGGCTTACAGGCAGCTGCATTCTCCTAGTATCCTCACACGGTCCAGTGAGCTCTCATCACTTTCTCTTTTTCTAGAGCCACTAATGCCATAATGAGAGCTCTGTATCATGGAAACCCAAGGTCTACCCCCTAGAAGTCTCACTTCCTGTCACCTTCCCACTGGGGGGCAGGGTTTAAAACAGAAAACCCTGCTTCCATTCTGCTGGGGACTGCAGCTCTGTGCTGCCTGCTATACAACCTGAGTCTGTTTACTTGTATATTCTATAAAGCCACAGAGGAGCCCAGTCCTTTTGTTTTGTTTTGTTTTGTTTTGCATAACGACCAGGAGTTAAAGTACCCACATTCTTCTTCATACATTAGATGTCACTATATGATATAGATTTGGAGCTTTAAAGGCCATTAATAATCAATTGATATTTTGAATATAAATGGATAAATTGTGCTAATTGCAGTACTAGACACTGTACTCACTCTGACTCATTTTCATAAGTACTGAGTTACTTTTGGATAATGATTTTTGAGCTGTATTATCATTAAAAGTCAAGAAAGGCAGAAGATACATCGAAGGTTAGTTATCTCTGCTTCTTGATCTTGAAATTAAAAAAAAAAAACTCAAAAGTTGCTTTCTGATTTTCGTTTTCATCAGAACCACTTCATCAAATCTTAGGTAAACCTTTAGGTACAATCTTTTCCAAACATACCGACAAGCATATTGAAATATTAAATGGACTTCTAGCATCTGTGACTGGCTTGAAATTATTTCAGGATTTTTCTTTTCCTTAATTTTTTGTATTACATTGACCATTCAATGCAATGCCTAGGGTCACACACAAATTTGGTTTGCAATAGTTTAGACACTAAATCGGGTCTCACAATAAATCATTTAAAGTGTTTAATCTTTTAAACAATTAACCCTATCCATGTGAGTTTATTGATCGTTTGGTCAACTCACTTCATTATATTAAGACAGGAGGTGTTTGTCTACCAATTTCCATATTTTCCTTTACCTAGATATTAACTTTTTGTAAATCTAAGTTGGGAAAATGGGTGCATGAAGATCTCTGAAGTCTTGAATGCTTATTGGGATTATTTGGATGCTTACAAAGAACAATTATGAAGGATTTTTTTAATTAAAGAATTTCATAAGTATTTGAGGCTACCCACACATTCACTTGTATCATGTACAAGCCAGCAGGTGGCAAACTTGAGATTTTGTTGTACTACTGCTCTTGTTGAAGATTTAAAAGTATTGAACCATCTCTCAATGGAGCTCTTAAATAACTCTTTGTTCTATAATGATGTTAGGAAAATTAAGTCCTTGAATTGCAGAGCCACTAGGCTTGGATAGCAATATACTTTATTTAGTTTTTTCTTGATTTAAGGTTTATCCTATAATTCTTTTTCATTTAAATCATTTTAAAGGATAACAATACTATATAATTTGTCAGCTTAAACTGACTTTTCATTCTTGATTTCTATGATTATGAGGAAGTTGTTGGTGGATTTGCATTTACTTTGGGAGAATCTTTATATCATTCTAAAAAGTTTATAAAACACACTGTGTGCACAGAAAAATGTAAAAAATTCTTTGGAAAATTCTTACATTGACAATCTTGTCTTAAAAGAAAGAAAAGTAATTTCTTCTACAGGCAATGGTTGTTTTTCTTTTATTCCAAAAAATATTACTGTTCTATTGCAGTTTGTTGATAGTTACTTATAAACAAAAATGAGTTTAATGTGCAATTTAATTTTCCAATGTTTTGGATTTTGCCTCAGTTAGCCATAATTAATCAAGGTTGATTACATTCAGGAATAAAATTAGGCTTTATGATATTTAAATAAACTCATTTACATACATCATATCCAGAGGTGAAAATTAAACCATAATACATGAGTTGTTCATTTTTTCTTTGTGAAACTCATCTGTTTAACTTCACCTCTATGTTCTCTACAAAAATTAATTTTCCTTCCAATAAGTATTATCTCCTTCCAACATGTTTGCATTAATCAATTTGTGTTAATAATTATTGCAACCTATTATTCTCTTCTTAAAGGGGAGAGAGAATTTTACAAATGAAAGCAATTGCTGAAGACATGCAAATGTAAGTAAATGTGAGTGCTTCATGACTGCAAATGAGATGGAAATGTAAGATGATTTCTACAATACATAAATAAATACATTATGTTTCATTAAAGTCACAAACTATTTGAGGTATTCTACCAATTGGATCATTGATGGTTGGTTCAAGAGGTGGAAAGTTATCCTACAAATTATCATTCAATACAAATGGTTACATTGTTCTCCAAATATTGCAATAGCTGAAGACCCTTTAGGGTCTAATCACACACCATTCTTCTTTGCTATTTTTATTCCTTAAGGGAAGACAGCTCAATTTTTTAGATTCTAGAATTTGTTTATATTTTAAGGGAAATAAATTATAGTATAAAATTGACTTAGTTCTATGAAACAAATCCAGCATCAAATTTATGAAAACTAAAACTGGTATAAATGCTACAGAACTTAGGCTACAAGTCACTTCACATTTTCTACTTTGATGCTTTAAAGAAAACCTCTAGGGTGGGCATTTTGCTTATGGTTTAATTTCTACTCCCACATCCCATATGGGTGTGTCCTGCTCCTGGCTCCTGATTTCAGCTTTCTGCTAATACAACTAGGGAGGCAGCAGGTGATGGCTCAAGTAGTTGGATCACTTGTACTCACATAGGAGACCCAAACTGAGTTCCAGGCACCTGGTTTTGACCTAACCCTACACTGGTGATGCCTGGTGTTTGGAGAGTGAACCAAGAGATGGGAGCATTCACTTTCACCACCACCACTTCTTTCAAATAAATAAATAAACAATTCTTTAAAGCCTCTGATCACAGAGCCTGCACTCATTGGCCTGCAGATGTTTGAAGATCAAGTGTTCTAGTGCTGTGACCCCAGCTCAGGAGTTTAGGAGACACGTGCCCTAGTGCTCTGTACCCTACGTCCCCCGGACTTCCTTCCATTTTCCTTCTACCCATCTCCAACTTGAGAACCCAGTGTTGTGGAGGGATGACCCACACACCAACACCTGCCCTTATCCCCTCTCTATGTGGATCTCTTTGATGGTCTCCCTTGAGAATTTTCATGGGGCAACATCAGGGACATGGAAATAGGGATCTCGCATTCCCAGACATCTGGAGGTGCACAGGTGTGGAAGACAACCACGCCAAGCTAGGCCCGTTCATTAATCGTTCCGACAAGGGTAGATGTCAAAATAAGCAGTGCACTGGGCCATACTACATATTTTTAGTGTATGTGCTGCCTAAGCGAGCACAAAGACTATATATTTTTAACTAATGCTTTTTTCCGACGTAGTCAGCAAGGATACCACAATCCGAGTCCCACCTCCGCTGGGTCCAGCAGCTCATCCCTAGACAGGAGCTGAGCTCCAGGCAGCTGGAGAGGCGCAGAGACCCTGCCCCAGTGAGTGCCGCCCCAGGCCTCATCCCCGTGGGACCCCACAGGTGACAGGTCCTGCTGGCCGGGAGAGAGGCCGTTCCGGACCGGCAGGCTTGGGTCCAACTCTTCTGCACAAGGAAACCACTGGGTAGGGGACTGCTCTCCATCCCCTGCCTTTCTCTGCTCCCGGTTCCCCAGCCCCGCATTCGCGCGGGAGCAAAGTTTTTGCAAGGAATGAGCTGGGCGTTGACGTAGGCAGCCCTCCACGCCCATTTGGAAAAAAGCCCGGGCAGGAGCAAAGCGAGGACACGCGGAGGAAGGGCCCGCGTGGACGCCAGGCCAGGGTCCCGGGCGGGGCAGGTGGAGGCTGAGCCAAGTCTCTTCGGCCCCAGAGCCACGAATACATCCGGCATTTCCCTCCTCCGTCCACCTCCTAAATCCCAATGAGGTCATAGCAATGAGAGAGAATCAGATCGAGAGAGAGGGGGAGGAAGAGGACGACGGCGAGGGAGAAGACACCCAGACGGAAAGAGGCCATCAGACAAGGTCGCTTCTCCTGGAGACACGGCGACTGCCGGGAGCGTGGTGCTGAATTCCATCCGCCCGCGCTGCTTGGGGACCTGGGACTCGCGGAGGCGCCGCGCGTGGCCACGAAAACAAAGGAGACGAGACGAGAGGGGGCCGGAGGGGCACAGCTCCACGCTCCCGCACGGGCAGGGAAGGGAGCCGGTCGGGTCCCGGGAAGCTCCAGCGGAGCTGCGGGCGACGGCAGGACTCTGGACAGCGCCCGCGAGCCGGGCTCCGCGCTGCCCGCGCGCGATCCGCTCCCGGCTCCCAGAGCCCCGCCAGCTCCCGGATTGCGCCCGCCAGCGCGGCCAGAGCCCTCTGCGGTGCCCGTCTGGACGCGCCAGGGGGTGGGGCTGCCTTTTCTGCCCGGGCCCTGCGCGTGAAGAGGGGGTCTCTGGTTCTGGAAATCCAGCCCCGGTGGACCATGTTTCTCTGGTGAAGAAAGAAAAGTTTGGGGATCTGCTGGGGGGTGGTGGGGTGGGGTGGGGAAGAGGGACGGAGGTTAGCGGAAGAAAGAAGGTGGAAGGTTGCTTTCCCTCTCTGCTCTGCGAGGAACGATGACCGAGGAAGCATGTGCACCAGCGGCCAGATTATCGGGAGCCTCCTGGTGCTCTCTGTGCTGGAGATAGGACTGGGGGTGTCCAGCGTGGCCGTGGGGGCGGTCAGCTTCAGCCTGGCCCTCCGAGAGCACAAGCCGCAGCTCGGAGACTCGTCCCCGGTATGGAGCGGGGTGTGTGTACGTTGAGCCATTTCACTCTCTCTTTACCTCTTTACGGTGACGGGCAGCGTGCGCGCGTGAGTCACTCCCTCCCTGGGATGCAAAATCAGAGACCTCCTGAGGCTCGCATGCAGGTTCCTGTTGGCAAGCCAGGCTGCTTTACGTTGTCCTTTTGTTTATTTGTGTGTTTTTTTTTTTTCTTCTTTGGACTTAAGACCACATTTTAAATGGCTTTGTTTGAAGTTGGGGGCGGGGGTCAGTTCTCACTGACTGATTTTGCCAGGTTCTGTCCAGTGGTTGGTTAGCACAGTGCGCCTGTCAAGGGCAGACTAACTTAGCCTTTTGTTCCTCATAAAACAAGGAAAATCGAAATGCGAGTTACATCATTTTCCTATACTAGGAACATGCAGGGACAGTTACGCAGTTATCTCCGGGTAACCGTGCCCAGGGTGCACCAAAGCTGACACTGATGTGACAGGAAAGCGGTGTGGTCTGGAGTGAGAGAAGGGTGTGTGTGTGTGTGTGTGTGTGTGTGCATTTCATATCCCCCAAAGAAACTGTTCCTGTGAGCAGCTTTCAGGTACTTCTCTGAAAACTCTTGTGCAAGTTCTAGGTAGGAAGCGAAACAGCAATGGTAAGAGATGTCCAGATTCCAATCGAAGGCTCACTCAGCTTACAGGGTCTCTGTAATGCCATCATTCTCTGGGTCAGTGGGCAGACCCAACAAGTTTAGTGTTTATTTACTTAGGGTGAATCTCAAGAGAAGCCTTAGAGAACCAGTCCTGCCTAGGAGAAATAAAATAACTGCACTATTCCTAGTGTGGAGCTAGTTTTGAAAAACAGATTTTTTTTTTCCTCTTCTCTTCATTTTGATCCTGCTTCTCAAGATACTTGAATAGGAACTTGTCTAGACACTGACAACCCATAGTGTATTTTAGAGTCATAGTTTGCTGACTTGAGCTTTAAGTCCCTAACAGAAAATGATCATTAAGAGTTCAAGAAAAATAATTCCAAAATCACTCATTTTTGAGGAATGTTATAGCATTCTTAAAACTGGTAAATTTGTGATGTGGAAAACTAGGTTTCATGTTTAAATGGTATCAAGTGAGATAAATGTTTTAAAATTACATAACTTAAAAGAAAGAAGAAAAAAAGAATGTTCAGTTCTAACATTGAATTCCTCTACGAATCTTTGTTTTGAATTCAATAACAAGGTAATAGTAACCTCAAGATAACCTTTGTTCTTAATTATGTAATTTTTGCTGTTATATATGTATATATATTTCATTTGAGTTTAAAAAGACAAAAGACATATCTTAATGTGGTAATTAAACATTTTATAAGAGTGACAATTACTTTGAGAGTTGTAGTTGCTATATAAACAGAAATAAGTCTCTAAAACTTCTATAAGCCACTGTCAAAATAAAATGTGATATCAACATTTAGAATAAGAGGAATAAAATGTGATCTTTTGACAACTTAGGAAGAAAGAAGCTTCAAAATCTCTTCAAGCCACTCCCCTTTGAAATTCAAGAATTGAGTGAATAAACTTAGATTGTAAATAATATTATAGTATTGAATTTATCTTCAAGTATAAAAGAATGGTTATATTAGCTTAATATCATATAAGAAAGATAATTAAGTGATTTGTCTCTTTTCCTAAACTGTTTAATATTATCTGGATTGACATATGTGTATGTACAGAAAATGAAAATTTTGAATCAGCTAAAGGAAAAATAAATAAATTAATAATATCTATATATTATAAGGAATTTCCATTTCAATTAGTTGTTTAGAGTATGCAAAATTCACCTGGTTTTCTGGAATAATAGTTTTTAATTCTCTTGTAAATTCACACAAACATCTAGAGTTTAATCTAGAATGCACAAATAGTCATTCACCTTTGTGAACCTATATTTAAAAATCAAATTTGTAAAGGAATATCCAATAGGGATCAATATGTTTGCCAAAATATAGGGTGGCTATGATTGGTTTTTAAAATTAACTTTGGAAAGTCATTTGCGATAGTCTGAACTACCTCTTAATTATTTCAGGAATAAGTTGATACAGCCAATATTTTTGGTCTGTAAGCATCAACCTTTTAACTTTGCTTTTATTTTTTTAATATTGAGATTGAACAGTACTGAATGTTTTGTCATACTCACCGCATATGTACATATCATATGCATAACAAATATACACTACTTTTTCTAGAAAACATGGATATTATCACAACACGTGGAATTCATGACAGTGAGCATGTAGTGAGAATAGAAGGATATATTGTCATATAGATGGTATAATCCAATGAAGAAAATATTTTAACTACATGCACACCAAATAATGTCAAATTCATACACTTTTAATACTCATATTCACTTTCACATATAGGAGAAAATGTGCTATTTGTCTTTTTCTGGCATCTTTCATTTACCATAATGATCTCCAATTCCATCTATTTTGTGGCAAATTTCAGCAAATTCTTTTTAATGGATGTGTAATATTCCATCATGTGTATAAACCACATTTCCTTTATCCAGGCGTTAGCTGATGGACATCTAGGTTGATTCCATATAAGCAGTATTTGTAGAGGGGTTAGCATGTGATGGGCATTTTACTCTTCAATGCAGAGACTATTCAAGGTGAATCAGAACACTGTCCTCAAAAAGCTCCTTCCATTAGAGGAAACAAGAAGGGTTCCAAGGGATGCAGGGGCAGAAACAGGGTGGCATGGGGGAGAGGCTGAGGCTGTCCATGAAATATCCACAGAATAGGCATTATTTTACTCTGGATCTTGAAAACTTGCTAGGATTTGGAATCAACGTATTATTGTTAAGAAATTGCAGAATGGAATCTGAAGTCAGACTACTTGCTTGCAGGTCTCAAATTGGCCACTTACTAGGGAATGATTAGTTTCCTCATCAGGCCAAAGCAAAGTTATTCCAAGGCCAAAGCAAATCGTGTGCTAAGTAAAGTGCATGGCATGTAGGAAGCACTCAATAACTATGAGCAGCCTCCACTGGATGCCCAGAATGGCAGTGCATGGCACAAGAAAAGAGAGCCTTCCAGGTAGCATGCATGAAGACAAAGAATGGGGCCAGATGGCTGTGCTCCAGGAATACTAGGCTTTTTTGCTCTGTGGGGGCTGGGATGTATGAGATGAAAATAAGGACAAAGACAGTGGTTAGGACCAGATGATGGGAGAAGGTATGCCAGTCTAAGGCAGCAGGTTTATCATTCTCATATTTTTAATAATAATAGTATCAATTCTTACTTCCCAATAAGAATCCAGGGAGATGCAGAGGGAAACTAGATTGACAATTATGAATCTCTTTGGTAAGTTATGGATTAAAAATCTGCATTATTTATGAATATCAAATGAAAAGTTAACAATAATTAAACTGTCAGGATACATGTAGTCTATAATCACACTGCATTTTTTGATGCTCAGAAACTTTTTCAGCATGTTAATATCATTATTAGTAAGAGTTCTGAATTAAATTTAAAAGCCAATGGAAATCAAAGTTATACTACAAAGGAATTAGTATTGAATGGGGTGGCTATGAAATCATAAGCTTTTTATCTAGGGCAAGTGCACTAAGACATTTAGAACACCATTCTGATTATTTTACCTCAAATATTCAAAATAAAAAAACTCATTGAAAAATATAGTATCAAGATACAGGGCTTACGATATGTAAGATAGATGCTTATATAGACCATTTCCATTCAGTCTTTCATAATCAGGCTTCCTATGGTCAGTCTAAAAAATACAGTGAATTAGAAGGAAAAAATCATTTAGCTGTAATTTTATAGGCTGAAGCTATAAACGTCTCCATAGCATGTTTACTTCTTGATTCTTTGTTGTAACTAATACCAATACTTACAATCAGAGGACAAAATCCAAAGGCATGTTCAGTAACAGTGAAATATTCATTGAGTAAGCTGCTCTGAAAAAGCCATAATTATATAAAAAAATTGATGGGGAAGATTTATTGACCTGGAGTTAAATGCACGGAGTTGTGTTTCCAAGTTTCTGTGTGAAAGTTGCTTTTTTCAGCCTCAGGAGCATTATCTTTAAGGAAAAAGGCTGGATTTTATAGCATACAGATTCATGCATTGTTGACAATTTTGTTTAGTTGCTCTAGGATATCATTGAAACTCTACAGGTTCAGATGGTGATGTCCAGAATAAATGCTGATGCTGAGTTGTGTTTATTACATACCATACGCATCCATACCTGGTGATCACTCTATAAAATGTAATTTATTAAAAACAAACTTTTATAAGCCTGGTTCTCCCACATATAAGCCAAAAGGTACTTTTAAAATATTTGAAACTGTTCTTATCTAAATTACTTAAAATATTATTATTCTGGGGCATACTTGATTTGTACAGCATAAATGTATCTGCTTAATGAATCTAATGTTTTCCCTCAGTGAAATTTGTAACATCATTAAAGCACATACCTGTTCTGTAGACTCCTGATTCACCATGGCAACAACTCTGCCAAGTCTAAGATTTTGTTGAAATTCATCTGTATACAATTGGATCCATATCAGAGCAGCACAAATGAGAGCTATTTCAGAGTATTATCTATAATATTTAAATCTATCAGATTTATTTAATGAAAAAAACAAAAGAATGTGAAAGAAACCTCCTAAACAGTAACTTTAATTTTCATAATTTGAGCTCAAAATCTGTAAGTAGAAAATACAACATTTTTCTCCTTGATCAAAATACATAACATAAGGGATAGATATCTTTTATCCAAAGATGGAAACACTTCTCCTATCCTCAAAAATATGCAAGTATGCATGTATGCCCCATTTAAAAATTACTTTCATTACATAAGTAATTCATGAATACTTGAAAATTTTTTCAAGATTTTTTTAAATATTTGAAACTAAAGTCTTCTTCCTTAACATCTCATTAAAATTAGTCACCATTATATTATTGAATCCCATTGACATTTCATAATGTACAAATAGTTTTGTTTTAAGAAGACAGCCCAATCA